CTCTCTCTCTCTCTCTCTCTCTCTCTCTCCCTCCCTCCCTTTTCGATCGCCTTCCTTTTGAACTAACAGTCATCGCCTTTTAGAGCTTCTCGTCCCCGTACCGGTGGCGTCAACCGCCTGCGTCCGCGCGGACGGTCGACGCCCCCGCCAAGGGGAGAAAGCTTAGATTTCGTCATCCTCCCCCTACGCACCCGTTTTTGAGAGAGAAGAGTTGCGACGATTGATTGTATGGATCCGGTGTTGGTTCGGATGACCGGGAACGCAGGATCTTGCCCGTGTTCATCACGTACCTCCGATCGTCTCATTTCGCTACCGACCTTCCCCATCACAGATGACGACAGCATCTACTGCGATGCGGACGTACGGCGCGCGTTGAGACGGACGGAGCAAGTGTGTTGGCAAGACCCGCCTCGGGCTTGTGAGATAAGGGGGAACGGGTTTGTGTTGATTGATCGCTTTGATTCCCCGACTCTAATATTGCCTTATACGGGTTTAACGGTGTTGCCCTGGTAGACCGCTCACGCCGCGTGGCGACCGCAGTTTGATTGTCGCTGGTGTCGCCAGGGGGACTCGTGTTCGTGGCGACAGCTGGTCCTGGGTTACGAGGGAGCGACACGTTTCCCCGAGCTTTCCCGTAGTGCGGGGGCAATTTCGAATTCAGATGCCGGCGAGTCCTCCCGCCGCTTTACCCTCCCGGAAACTTTCACGCGGGCTCTATGAGTCCGACGCCGAGGCTTGAAGGCCTCGAACCCACCGCCTATCCCCGGAACCCCCGACAGCCAGAGTTTTTGCCGTCCGCCCCCATGGCCTCCTCCCCTTGATGCCTTTTCCTGTCCCGATGCACAACGACAATTCATTTTTACAGAAACCCTTATGATTTTATCGTTTCGGAGTAATCCGACCCCCGCGGGACTTCTTGACGATAGTTCGACTCCGAGAAAAACCTCGGCCAAGAAACGAGAGCCTCCCGTTCCGGCCGGGGGACTCAACCCTTACGGCCAAAAATCATCGACCACGCCCCTCCTAGAACTCTGATCGGCGACCTCGTACGGGAAGCTGCGAGGGGGCATGAGGTTGCGTATCACAAGTGCCCGTGCAGTTGACAGTCCAATGATAGTAGGTGGCTGTGGTTGTTGTTGTGACAGGTGTGAGAATAGATGTAGCCTTGTTTATGTAGAAGGAAAGCCTAAATGTAGCTGTGATTGTATACAGGGTGACAACGTGGTTAGTTGTTTCCCTAGACATTGGACTGCAGACAACAGGCCCACCTTACTGTTACTGTTGTTGCAGTTGTGCATGATTAGGTTTAACTGTGATTGTGAATAGCAGTGCACCGCAGGACCGTGAACATGTTTGGAGTGACACTTATTGTGTTTTCCTGCAGTCAACCTGCTTACCCACCTACTATCCTACCTCAGTGTGACCAGCACTCAGGACCATTACCCTACCAATGGGAAGGTAACTTGGACCGAGCAGCAGTGATAGGCACCAGGGCTGATAGGTTGCCCAGCCCTGGTGGAAGCGGAATCAGACGAGCCTTGTCGAACGGGAACTTCGGACGCCAGGCCCAGACAATCTGCTACAGGCCCCAAGAGGCTCTGGGCCCTAGGTTTCAGACAGGGTAGCACCCATTGAAGCAGTCTTACCGTCCTTCCCCTAGCTTACCCAAGACCAGGTGGAACTCGGACTGGCCTGAGCGACTTGTACCCCTATCTTT